TCACGTGACAGTGCGAATAGCGCGCACTTGTGATAAAATGGCGGCAACGCCAATCAGAGCATTTGTAATAATTCTAATATTTAAATTAAAAGCTTTTTGTGTTCCTCCACGTGGTATTTAATTTAAAATACTACGCATATGAGATCTTGGCCTGTAGCGGCGTTAAATCGCGATAAATGGAAGAAGGGAGGCTTTTGCCTTGCAGTTTGTAACAGCTGAAGAATGAAATGAATGAATAGACAACATTCCGTCACAGAGATTCGAATCGTCGACTTTTAAATTCAGAACCTTTCTCCCACCACGCTACCACACCGCGGTTGTTACATTTCATACTTATAGCAAGTTATTATAGAAACATTAATCTTACTTGTGCGAACTTGTTAACCCAATCACGACGCATACTTGCGTTAACAAATCCCAGCCCTTCAAACCGAATTAGTATTTGGTAATTCCATTACAAATGGAAATGTAACTATACTTCCGGATTTAAATCGCGTATATTTGTTTTTTCAAACAAACCGACGTTTCGGGCCCTTTACAGGTCCCATGGTCACGGTTGACTGACTACTGCCACTTGACCTATTTCTGCCGCCAAGCTTTATTTTTTAATAATTTTGTTTTATTTTTGTAACAGCCCCATTTGTTTACTAATATTATGCTTCCCAAAATTCGAAAAATAAAACAAAAAATGAATTTTGTGAAAAAAACGGAAACGACAAACAAAATAAAAACAGAACAGGTCCAAAAATTAAGTTGACGTAGTGTGCGTTGGAGGTGTCGCGATACAGCGCTTGCAATATAACAATAATAATGCGCTAGACAACTAAACAGATTACGGTTAGCTTATATATAAGACCCACTGCTGGACACAGGTCTCCTCTAACAATGAGAGGGCTTGGGCTGTAGTTCCCACGCGCGGACCCAAAGCGGACCCGGAACTTGACATACATAATTAAATTTCTCTACAGATGAGTGCAGGTTACCTCACCATGTCGTCCCTCACGCTCGTGTTAAGTTTCAAATAAAATTTGGCACATAAAGTCCGAAAACTCAGAGGTACAAGCTCGGATTCGAACCCACGGCCTCTGCTCGAAAGGTGGTAGGTCAAATCATTAGGCTACCACCGTTTAACCACACCATTAGGTCTCAAAATAGCTAATTCCCTGCACTACCTGTACGAATAGCAATGGAGATGATATTTGGGGCACTACTCAGAACACCCAGACCAGAACTAATTTAGAAGGTTTGTTCACCAAACTGGTTTTACCGGCAACTAAACCCAGGAACTCCTGATCCAGCACCCATAATACAAGCTGTTGGACAACCGATGTCTTCATATATTCTAATTTGAAACGATCGAATAGTTTAGCCACAACTATACCATTAATTTGTGCCCAACCTTGAAATTCTAATGTATGGTAATGGAGGTGGTCAGTATGTGGCCTAACCCTAATGTAAATCACAACTTATTTATTAAAACTTAAGCCTAACTTAATATACTCGGTTTTAAGCTAGTTAAAGATGTCGTCTTGTACCTGTCGTCATACTTTAAGTGAAGATGAATAATATCTTGTCATTTTCATTGAATTTTTACGTGGAGATTTTAATAAATCTTAATTAATCTCTATTAAGAAATAATTCTATTAAGGAATGCCAAGACATACAATAGTAATTTGTTATGCAAGGCTGCAAAGTTGTTGTTTGACGCAAGTGCTTGTATTGAAACCTGAACAAGCGAAGCGTTCGGAGTTGAAAAAAAAATTCAGAGCGCAGCGAGGGTTTCCAGTCACGAGACGCAAAACAACTTTGCTGCCGAGCGAAACACACAACTTTCACCTCACTACAGTAAGGAAAATGGTAAATAAAAGAAAAAAAACAGTTGAACTATAACAAATCAGTTTTAATAAACAAAATTGTTATCGTTGTCAATTTAATGTCAACGATGATAAGAATAAAATATACCAAAGGATTTGTATTACATTTTTTCTTTTTTTTTTATAGCATCGAGGGACGGGACGAGCAAGTCGTGCGTCTGATAGTAAGCTACACGCCTGCCCTTAACTGTTGCAGTGCCACTCAGAGCTTTAAATCGCAAAGATTTGAGGGGCACTGCCACTGCGTTTGTCACCTTGAGACGTAAGTTGACAAGTCTCATGTGCCTGTAATTTCACCAGCACCCTTATCCTTCATAACCCGAACACAGTAATGCTGACATTACTGCTTGGCGGCAGAAATCGGTAAGGTGGCAGTACTTCCCTGGACGAACTCTTTCACAAGGCGCTCTACTGCTTCTTACTGCTACATCGCGTAGTTGAACGTATCATTATGTTTTTTTTTCGTCAAGTTCGAATTTTAAAAACCTTTTCCACGCTAGCGTGGAAAAAACGCTTTTGCGCGCAGATTTCTAATGAGAAAGAAAGCCTTTCCGAGCTAGTAAGGTGAAAAAGAAATATAAATAATGTATCTTTAATTGTGTGTTTTTATTCAAATAACGAAAATATAGCTAAAAATGTACACAAAATTCATAGCGCAGTGGCGCAGCGGTTTTGCTCGGGGACGCGCCTTAATAGTTAAAGTTTGGTTTCGAAGTAATTTGGTTTCCAAATTTCTTAGGTGGTCGTTATTGAAATGATATCAATTTAATTGGACGACTTTTAAAACTTAATAACGATGAATAAGGATCTTAAGAGTCAATACCATATTTTTTGGGTCCTAATAGGGTTCATTTTGCTTGGTTCGAACGACAGGAACACTTCTTTTATTTCAGAATATATTTTTTTACAAATGATATTAATACCATTTAAAAAATGTATATTCATAAATCTGTTCTATTTAGTTCAGTTGATGTAAAAAACATAATTGGTATTTGTAAAGTATTTATTGAATAGCGGTTTTCTTGTAAAATTTCGAGATAAGTTTGTTTTTTTTTAGATCATTCAAATTTTTAGGAATCGTGTTTTCACAACGTACAGTAATCAGTGTACATTCTCAATTTTACTATATTTCTTTTCCAAAGCGATTGATTCAACAATTTCAATGTTATGCGGAATTAACCAAAGCCATTTAAAATAGTATAGTCTAATAAGACGATAAGGGTATTTGTGTCTCGATAACTAAAAACGTTAGAATGATACTAAACAAATTTTAAAGCTTATTTATTTGTTTTAATTTCTTTCAGTTTACTAACACAGATTATCGAGCGGTTTGAAATTGATTTTGTTTATTGTAAATTTCGTAAGCGTCAGTTGACAAAATTTATTACACCTTGTTAACGTAACTATATTATTTTTTTAATTCTCAGGCGTCTCTTCTTTGTCGCTAAATGTAAAGAAAAGTTATTTAATTTCAATTTTTACTAAGTCGATTTTAAGAGAAGTTAATTTAAATAATTTAAATCTAATTCTTCTTTATTTAAATATAAACGTTACTATCTTATATTGCCACTTTCGTTCCACTAAAAAATGCGTGAAGTACCAGATTTATCACCACAGTATGAGTTTTATTCCTGACATTTGAGAACGATTTCATGGGAGCGGTTCCGTGGACAAGGACTGAACAAATCATACCGTGGTTACCTAAGTAACTAATGATAACTAAGTTTACAAAATGGGTATATTGTTTTTACAAATTGAAAGGTATAAGACCGAAAGTGTATTTACAACAGGCTGTTGATTACGATGATAATGAAATGTTGTCCTTGTAGTTATGAAAGTTTTATATTAAATTTGAGCTTGAAAATTACGATCACATTACCGTAGAGAACAGAACAGAAGTAATAAAAACAAAAGCCTGAAGAAAGTAGAAATAAATATAATATTACTTACGTATTTTTTACAAAGTAATGTGCGATAGCAACCCGGTTCCACAAGATTTTATCAAACTTCAACAAACTCGGATTACATTTCTGTTCGTTTTAAAACTTAACATCACAATACTTGACAGCGAAACTCGGAAAATATATACCAAAGAACAAATCCGCCTTCCTTTTCAAGCCCGGCTTTGTTACTTTGTTGTTAGAAGTCGATTTAGAATACGAAAAAGGGAAAACACAAAGGAGTTCAAGAAATGTAAGACGAAGTCTTTTTTCTTTTTCATAAGTTTCAGATACATCTTTTAAGCAATGTTAATCCGGTGGAAGTACAATTTAGAGTTAAAATAAAAATATGAAATGAATAGCCACATGTTTATAGATAGTTTTATAATGTGACTTTGGTAAATGGACGTATTAAGAAACGTCGTGAAGCATTGACCTCTTCATTTCTCAAGTAAAGGGAAATAATAACAGATTCAGGCGTTATTTTTCGGAAACCCTTGTCAATAAAAATGGATGTTAATTACTCTTCTACTTTTGAGTATACTTTTCATGCTGGTATTTATCACTATAGTTGCGCTTGTGTTTTTATTATCGTTTTTTTTCGTTACACTCTTGACAGAGCGATCGTGGTCATCACTGAGTTTATTTGTTAGGGGCTGATGTGGCTCGGCTCACTATATCTTGCCATCTCTCCCTGTTAGTGGCATCCCCCGTTCACTCATGCAAAGAACCACCCACCACGAACTTCGTTTAGTCTGGTATCATCTACCCTGCCCCGTACGACTAGATGCTCTATGGAGTCAAAGCTCAGTGTTGAGATGTGCCCGAAGAACTTTAGGATGCGAGTTTGTATTACAGCAGACAGCTGCTGCTTGATGCCGAGTTCTTAGAGTACGGAAACGATTGTGCGAAACTCTGTCCACGATATCCCAAGCATTCTTCTCCAACACCACATTTCCAGAGCGTCTGGCTATTTAGCCGTCATTTATTTCCCTATTATTTAAACGAAGAAAATATTGAACACAAGCGCAGCTATTTTGCACAATTTAACCTTCGGTTTACGGAACGGCAAAGTAAGGTAAACCCATTTTTATTAAAATGGAAAGAAGGCGTAATGATTTTCTGGTCGGTATCACGTATTTTCCGTTACTGCTACCAGGGCCGTATAATTCTCAAGCAGTGGAACCGGGCATGTGACCGTGCAAAGGATGCTTACTGTAAAATTGCTCACCGTTCCCCGCGCGCGGCGCGAGGCGGGCGGGCGCCGCCAGCGCGACTAGCGCGAGCGCACACCACCATGACATCACAACCACACCTGTAACAATGATACAAATATTATTTAATAAGCATCCAAACTCTTGTGATCTGTTGAACAGATCGAGTACCTACCTAGGTTTTGATAGATAGATAAACACTTTTTTCACTGATATAACACAAACACAGATTAAACATAAAGAAAAAAACGTAACATTATTATCATAAATATGAAAGGGCGCTGATTCTGAATATGCTAAAGTTTCTTATGGCGCTAGTTTTCAATCAGGACTAACGAGAGGGATTAAATTTGTAAGCAAAAATATAACGAGTAAGCCTAAAGTTATATATTGAGATAATATACCTAATAGAGTGTAAATAGTGTATCCAAAATAACCTATCTAATAACTGAGATGGTGTAGTCGTCAACCAGTTATGTCTAATATTAATGCAAACCACCCTATATTTTACACTCAGAGTTAAACATATAAAAAATCGAATCTGCCAATTTGCGAAGTACCTAGCGTAAAACAACATTGTAACTGGTAGATTCGATAGATGTTTTCCATAGAAAACCATGGAAAGTGGTGCATTCGATAGCTTTAAGACTAGAAATAAACACATATACTATCGAAAGTGCTAGTTACAACTTTGTCGAAATTACATCCACCTAGACCACTATCGAATCTCCCCTTTTCGATAGTTTTTCTTGTGTAACCATTAGTCAGTAGCCATCTGGTCACATTGATAAGAAAAAACGACATAAAGAACTAATTATTTTAAAAATAGTAAGGAACTAGTTACATAAGGGATATTTTAGATCATTTATTTTTGATATTATGGAGGGATATAACAAAATTTTAACTACTTATCGAGTTAATTATAATTTTTTTCGTTAGACATGGTTTCACCGTGACGTTGTTGTTTATGTTTTAATACGAAATTAACCATCATCAACCTCGGCTATTCTTTTATAAACTCCGATTTAAAAAAAAGCAAAAAGCAAAACAAACAATAAGTAACTGAAACAAGCTAAGAGTAAACGAAAGAGACATGACCTCACTCTCTCACATCGCATCGCGGCGAATACTGCCGATTCTGTCAGTTACGAACTGTGCGCGTACACCGTCGCTTTAGAACAGTATCGAAGGTACCTTATCCGATAATGTTTGTAGCTCATAGTGTGAAGTACCGATAGCAGTCAATTTAAAACTTCCCTTAATATGATTTTTTTTCACCGAACTGTATATTTTTCTAATAGTGTATCATATACTCTTACAATTGATGCAATAAAAAAATTTAGATTTTGCAGTTTCGATACTGTTTGTTGCGGCAGTCGATTTGAAACTGCCTCGAAAAGCTACAGTTTTAGCTATTGCCATACATTGGACATTATCCCTGTCAAAAATACTTGAGCGAATCTTAAATAATTGCCTTAAAGATTATCTCGAGAAATATGTCATAATTTCCAAAAACCAGTATGGATTTCGAAATGGCATTTCTACAGAAAACGCAATTGCTGACTTAACTGGTTCATTAGTAGACAAAATGGATAATAAACAGAAGTGCTATGGAATATTCCTGGATCTGAGTAAAGCATTTGACACTGTCTCTGTCCCAATCCTTATTAAAAAACTGGAACAGATTGGAGTCCGTGGGAACGCACTAAACATTTTTATTGATTATTTATCAGGACGTACACAGTGTGTAAAAATTAATTCCTTCAGTAGTGACGATGAATTGCTGAATTACGGCGTGCCCCAGGGAAGCATTTTGGGTGCAACCCTTTTCCTGGTCTACATAAATGATATGTGCATGCTAAAGCTCCAGAACTGTGAGATTTTTACATACGCAGACGATACTGCGCTTCTGGTATATGATGTGGACTGGGAAAAGGCAAAAATGAGAGCGGAATCTTCTCTGAGAGTAGTCATGGAATGGCTATCTGCTAATTTATTAACACTCAACATCAACAAGACCACCTACATACGTTTTAATTTATCTCGGTCTGATCCTCCAGCATGCTCAAAATCTATAAAAGCACACATTTGCATTAGCAACTGTAATTGCCTTACCCTTACAAGATCTAATTCTGTAAGATACCTAGGAGTTCAAGTGGACGAAAGATTAAATTGGAGTCACCACATTGACAAAATTTGTGGAAGGGTAAGAAAGTTGATATATGTTTTCAAAAATCTGCGACACTGTGTTAACTCTGATACGCTTCTTCTAGTGTACCGTTCCTTGTGCGAGTCTATAATATCGTATTGTATAGCCATTGGGGGTGGTGCAGGTAAGTCGCACCTACTGTCCCTTGAACGGGCACAAAGAGCGGTGCTAAAGACTATTTTATTTAAGCCAAGAGACTACTCCACTGCAATGTTATACTCCAAATCACAGGTTCTCACGGTGAGGCAATTATTTATATTGAAATGTGTCTTGCGGCACTCAAATCTACCACTCGACCCAATCACTCTTAGCAGGCGTCGAGGTTTTCCTGTTTGCGATATCAAACGACGCCATACTGCTTTTGCTGGCGGACAATTACCTGCACTAAGTGCGAGACTTTACAATAGAATTAACAAGTCCTTAAACATATATATATTAAACAAGTATGAAGTCGGAAATAAACTTAAAAATTGGTTGCGGACGTTATCTTACGAGACGACAGAAGAGCTTTTGGACAAAATCTCATAAATTACTTATTTTAATTTATATTATCCTATCTTGACTATCCTTTTATTGCACTCAACACCACACATACAATCACTCTCACACATATACTCACCCACAAGCTCACACACACACACACACACACACACACACACACACACACACACGCGCCCACACTATGAGCCTTAACCACACGTTTACGGCACCACACTACATCTAGTTAATTGCAATCCAATGATTGGTTATGTTTCATGATTATAACGGAGAATCTTCATAACACTGTTAACACAGGTCTAGAACCTACAATAGTTTTATGATGGTTTAATTATTGTTTGCTTGTAGTACAACCAATTTGTATTTTTGTTTTGTTTTTAAGAAAACAAGTGCTGCTGTACTTAATATGAATAAAAGTTTTATTATAAGTTTTTATTTCATCACACAAAATCAACGTTTCATGCTGTTTGCAGGTCACGGCCAACTGAGAAGGTATTAATTAGTAGCAGTAGAGCTCCTTGTGAAAGAGTTCGTCCAGGGTAGTACTGCCACCTTACCTATTTCTGCCGCCAAGCAGTAATGTCAGCATTACTGAGTTCCAGTTTTGAAGGGTAAGCATGCTGGTGAAATTACAGGCACATGGGACTTGTCAACTTACGCCCCAGGGTGACAGTCGCAGTGGCAGTGCCCCTCAGATCTTTGCAACTGAAAGCTCTGAGTGGCACTGTTATTGTCATGGATAGGCGTGTAGCTTACCACCAGACACGACTTGTTCGCCCCGTCACGTCAAAAAAATAGTCATCAATTATGTCTAATACGAATGCAAACCAAAGTTGATACAACGAATTGGCAACATTTGACTGGACTCCAATGAGCATAATGTTGCCATACCAGGGCCACCGGAATCACTCGAGTATTTACACAAAAAATATATGAATGTCATCGTAGTAAAAACATTATGGTATTCATAATAACAATAAATATTACCTTATTTCTAATTTACTAAAGAATATAATTCTTCAAAAGATTCTTGAAACATTCTAAAGATTTGATTGTTGGCACGACCGCCAACTTCAGCATACATCACCTATTAACATTCCTCGGTAGCTTTCTAAGGTCCTTTATCATATCCAGGACCTAAAACATACATGAATCTTATCTATGTAGCAACATATATACTAACTGAGAAGTAATCCCGAGACGCAAGTTTCTTATAATTTATGCCTAATGTCGCCCATCTCAAAAATTGTACATTTGTCAGGAAGATGAAGAAAAAAGCTGAGACATAACTGATGCGCAAAGCGGAAGAATTTGAGATAAATTACTGTCATTCTAGACAGCCATCGACATTAGGCATAAATTACATTCTATAATTATATAAAATTTTCAGAAGATATTCTTGTGATAGAGTTCGTCCAGGGAAATACGGCCATCTTAACTATTTTTTACTTAACTACTTAAAATTTCAGATATATATTTTGTGACTTTCATGTGATAAAAGCACTATTGACGTTACACCTATGACGTATAACCGACCCTGAGACATAAGCAGACTAGTCCCATGTTACTATAATTTCAACAGCACACTTACTCTTTAAGACTGGACACAGTAATGATCACATTACCTCTTGGCGGCACAAATAGGTAAAGTGGTCGTATTTCCCTAGATGAACTCTTTCACAAGGAGCTCTACCGCTGCTTACAAAAATTGATATAATAAAGGGTTACCTATCAGTTGTCCGAAATGACACTTTCCAGAAATAACGTTTGGTCGAAATTTCATAACCGCGAAAGTAATTTTAAGAGGAAAACGTTTTTTCTTTTAAACCTCACTTAACCTGACCTAATCGTATCTTTGCGATAAACATTCAACATATCCTGAAAGAACAACTGTTTCGCTATAATTCGGTTTTCGGTGTAATGAGAATTCGAACAAACGTTCGGACAAAACGGAAAAAAGCGCAAGCGCACACGCTTTGTTAATTATTATTCGTTACAGTAATTATTTATTTAAAATTTCTTCTGTTTTATTTTTGAATGATTGTTAAATATATAGTTCGTAATAAGACATGTTGTGCTTTCCACTTTGTCATGTATTTAAATTTGTAGTCGCAAACTGTTATGTATTTCCTTTGGTAACGTATGTGTGTGTACTGTGCTCTTATGCAAAATAAGAAATGATTTCTATTCTATTCTATTCTATTAATTTTAGCGTGTCCTTAAGCATTTATGGCTATGGCAGAATATCAGCGAGGGCAATATGCTCGATTGTGATCAATTTCCATTTACCTTCACAATACAAATAAATCCTCTTATCAGTTTCCGCATTTCTTTCATTTATTGCTTTCTATTCTAAACATCTGACGTTCTCTGCACAGGGACCATCACTTAAGA